CTGATTTATTGGTGGATTTTTGTCATTCTGACGAGGTCGTGTAGACTCGACCTGTCCAGAGTATTGATAGAAACTGTTTACTTTTTGCATGTGGCTAGCAACTTGGTGGACTTGGTAGCTGCTATGCCGAAAAATGGCGTAGCCAGAATTGGCCGCGGTGTCGGGCTGGTGACGAAGCCCGGCCTGAGCATGCAGAATATGCTGCGTCCTCGGCAAAACCGAGGGTTCAGTCGACCATCCCAACCGAGAGGGACGGAAGGAGATGTCAGAAGGATATGCTCACACCGACCATCCCGGCCTAGGCAGTCGGGCCAGAGTGCACATGTGCCGGACTGGCAAGGCTGGGAATGCATGTGATCGCCGAGTCTGATCGTGTCTTTCGAGCGACAAGTGCCGGACTTGCTGTGTCCACGCACGCCTGCGCAACCAAGCAGCAAACTCTCACGTCGACATGTTTAGCAGCATTCGTTTTTGGCGAAGCGCCCAAATGTGAAGGCATCATCAGTCTGTAAGGACGTCTTGATAATTGAGGTCAGATATTGACTTGATGTCAAGAGTGATTCCTCCGTTAGAGTTAACACTCTGACGAAACTTTGTGTCCTAATTAACATATATTATAGAGCTTTTGAGTAGTAGTATTAGTAGTAGTAGTAGAATGCACTTTGGATGTTCAACAGCGTAAAAGTGGCGCTTTGAGCAAATCTATCAAAATATTTCTGACGAGGTTTGACTGCTCACATGTACCAATAGCTGCTGCTACAAATTGGCGGAATGCAGATTTGAGAGGTGAAAAATTCACTCAGATCCCCTCGAAAGCGTCCACGGCGTATCCATCGTGGATGGACATAATCGGATGGCTAGTGTGTGATCCGGTTGACTTTCCTATTTGTGTCGTTCACGGTACAGACGAAAGCTTTTCACAGTTTGATAGGCCTCACAGGACGGTGAGTCAAGGCCTTCTTCGCACAGTCCAACAGGCTTCACTCTGCGGCGATCACTTTCGGTTTTCGGTAAGACCATTTCGTGACTGCTTTCGCGCCAACATTCGCTTTGAAATGGAGAATCATGCTACAATAAATCATTGAAGGGAACTCTTAGTTTAGTGCCTATTTTTGTGCTTTTAATTAAGTGTGGATTTCTGCTGTGATGATGTCTGTCATAGAACAGACGAAAGATTGACATTGATGCATCGAGGTCGGGGGACCGTGGGCTGAGGATGTGTTCGCACAATTCAACAGTCTTCACTCGGCGGGCCTCATCTTTCGGTTTCCGGTGAGGCCACATCACGAATTCCTTCCAGCCATCTTTTACTTTGAAATGGCAAGTCATGTCAAAATATTTTCAAAACCCAGTTTTTATTCATTTCTTACATGAAAAGCAAGAAGTTCACCTTTGCACTTATAAATACCCCAAAACTGCAATTCTGCCTCATTTCTGCTCTAATCGGTGTTCAACCGCAGACTCTAAACAAGAGGCTTGAGATCTAATGACTTAAATCGCAACTTGAAGTAAGTCAGTCAGGACGCGCAACAACTTTGCTCGGACCCACCTTTGAGGCCTCGTGCCAAGCAACCACAGGTCTGGCTTGACACGGCTGCCAAGCCGTTCCGGTTCCATCTGTAGCCCCGTTGAGGCATGGGCTGCAAGTAAAAGTTTAAGGCAGTTCTTGCCATTTAATTTGGGGCCAGCATGAGGAATACCAAAATGAACAATCATAAGGAATGAGAGAAGCAAAGACCTTTTATCAATTGCCTCAAGAGCAAAACGCCCGCTTTATCCTTATAATAATAGTAATAATAATAATAATATTTTTGTTAGTTTAAGGAATACTAAATTTTGTTAAAACAACAAAGACTTATGCGAAGAAAAGTTGGGTTTCGAGGAATCGCTTTTTTCATAATTGTTGAGCTTACTTCCATTTCGAGTGGAAGTGTTGGGTGAAGAGATTCGAAGCTCGAATCCGCCAGAAGATGACGGCAGATTCCTCTTGACCAGCTGTCGATTGGCCTTCCTGTAACATTCATGCTGACGCTGTTTCCGGGGCAATCTCCTTCGATTCCGGTGAAAAGGTGCTAAGCTTTCGTGCA